GCACATCTCCTGTGCTTTTCTGTTCCACAACAAATTGTTGCTCCTTCCATCTCCCCCAATCAAGCCCAACAGGTTATGTAGATATTGCATCTTGCAAGATGATTACTTACCAAACAAAATGAACAACGATGACACTGTACTTTAAGCAAGATGAATACTTCAAACAGATTCAACAACACTATTTAAGTACCAGTCCATAGATTAACCACACATGCAGCAAGGTTTCTACATTGGTTGCACTAGATGTCCTCAGCTAACAGGCATACATTAAATTAAAACTCCACCATAAAGTACTACTACATAGTCTGACTAAGCCTGTAAACCAGCCAGGGTTATGCAACTCAATACCTACTGCAGATCAGGCCTAGCAACATTGGACTGCAGATTAATCACATCGGAAAGGTGTTTGCTGAAAGCCCATATATAGGTGATGGAGCTCAGCTTTTAGAAGTCTGGATCTCATCTTGTACCATGCCTATCAACATATGCCTGACATAAAATAAATAGACTGGAATCAAACATAGGAAAGTTAACGGCTATGTGCATCATTGAATTGCATACTCAAGTTTTTTACCTTCACAAGCTTTTCAATCTTTGTTCCAGACATGGTTATATAATCAGTTATCAATTCTTTAGTAGCTGGTACTTGATGCAGATCAACTGAAGCAAGAACTTTGTCAACAGATTTTTTTACTATCAGTTTATGAGCATCTTTACTCAGTTTGCCTTCCTTCCAAATAGGTTTCAGCAACTCCTTCACATGTTCTGCCAAATGAATACGGAAATAATCCCTCGTTTTCTCATCAATTGCTCCATCTTTGGTTCTTTCAAAAGCTTTCACCAAAGTATCGACATCCAGACTAGAGCGTTCCTTAACAGGTGCAACCAAGCCTGCAAACTCATTTGACCCTTTTGCCGACATATTCCTTGCCAACTTATCAGCATAAATCAATGATTTGTTGATATCTCCATATATAACACCATTCCCAGCAGTGTGCTGACTTGAAATGCTGCAGGATATGTTGGAGGACTTGAGAATATTGCCACTTTCAACTTTGGGAGGGTCCATACTGTCAGCAAGTGGGTCATATGGACTATTTGAAGGTGATGTACTGTTGGGAAACTCAACAAGAGGTACAAAAGGCACTGAAGTTACCCAAGGGTCATCCTTGATTGGGGAAAGGTGCTCAGGTTGGCATGAACTGCTTGCACGTAACCCAAGCCTAGATGTACCACAGCCCTTGTCAAAATATACATCTTTATGGAGACCAAATTTCTCAATACCAGGTGTTAACTGATGAGGGGACGGCATTCCTAGGTGAGTAATTGCTCGAGAAGGTTGGCTACCCAAGGAATGAGCAGAGCTATTGTAGCCTGGACTTCTGAACCCTGTTATACTGTTTGAGCCGTATGAGGCAAAGCTTGAACTATGTTCTTTCTGATGTTTGTGAGGAAGATTTTCTGTTGGTCCACCATAAACAGATCGCTTCTCACCATACTGGGGATAGTCAAATGAAACAGATGAGTCAAATGGTCGATGCCAATAATCAGAGACATGAGAATCACTTAGGCTGCTTGCTTTGGCCACATTCAGATCCGGCAACAGATTTTCTCCATCTAAATGCAATCTACTCAAGGTTCCCCTGCCATCCAAGTAGCTATCAGAGGGCAAACTAATATGGCGTCCCATGAGACTAGGTTTGTGGTTTTTCCCTTGAACTGAGATCTGCACCAGCTCATTTACAGGAGGGGTAGGCTTTGTAGTCCATAAATTATCAGTTCTGCAAGACCTCTCCGAAATATTTAGGTTGGGCGAGTTATGAGCCAGCCCCCTATTATCTTCGCCATAAGAATGAATGAGGGTCCTATATCGCCCATAGTTGTGCAGATCATTCAAGTTGGATACACATTGTGCTTCAAATCCTTCTTCAGAGCCTGAGCAGGGGTGTAGCAATCAAAAGTACTTAGATTTATAGAGCAATCAAAAGTTTGTGGCTGCAAGATATTCATTAAAGATTATCCTATAAAAATCTCATACCTCTATGTTTCCCATAACCAACTGATGTGAGTGAACCAGCATTTTCTTCTTGACTCCACAGGTTACCAAAACCAGAACCCTCTCTTTCATGAGGAGAAGTGCAATTCTTTCCTTGAGCATTAAAGGTACTCGTAGGGGTTCTGGTTTTGCTCCCCAGATCTCCACCAGGAGATGAGCTACTAAATCTAGGTTGTGAATGTGTTGAGTGAATTAGTGAATCAAATGACTGTTTAAGAAGTGTAAGATAAAAGAACATTATGTCTTCCATCAAACACCACAGCAAAGATAGAAATATTGTTCGAAGGTTCAAAATTCCTAGTGCACACAGAAGTAGCAATAATAATAGATGTACCTCCAAGCATTAGTATCTGGCATATCCGAACGTAGAAGATTGCCACTGCCAGTTTTCTTCAGATATTTGACATTGTTACGAGGCAGGAGTGTTGGCTTCTTTTCAGCAGTAGTCACCCCAATAAAACCTAGAAAATGTATGGTTATAATGAGATCCAAGTTTCAACATATACAACCAATTCATCTTAGTGATCTTCATACAAAATTCATACCTATGTTCAACTTATTCGTACTAGCCATTCTATATTCCACCAATCAATTAAAATGCTTAATCTCAAAGAAACTGTTAACAGGTTCCAAATAGCAGAAACCCAGTACTTGTACAACGTAGCTGACATACACCTAAAGGATATATTTTTTTGGTCCAGCAGGCTGCTAACTTATACCATTACAATACATCAATCACTGACAAGAATCATTCCATGCAAGATTTCCTAGGAGTAAGAAATAAATTTGATTTAAGATCCCTATGACTGACTCCAGAACCAACTACTGTTGACTCTGAAGTTCAGGATTTCAATGTTTATTTTCCAGTTTGACTGAACCCTGGAGGCTGAAAAGCCTCTATTGATTCAAGCAAACGACAAATGGACATAGAAGAATGGTACGATCATGGGATATGGGATATAATGGTCCCAAATAAAAAAGGCCGCATAGAGTGTTAGCTTTACCATGGCAAAACCAATGATAAGTAAATAGGGTTGGAATCAGAGGATATAATAGGAGCAAACAAACCAGTTAGTGATAGCTTATAGCATGATACGGGCCAACATTTGGTACATACATGTTATGGATGTATTGGGCAATGGGCAATGACAGCAAGAGTAGCAACTTGGACAAGCTTCTGCTAGAATTTGTGGAGCCCAATTCAGCCAAGAATAATGGTACACAAGGAGTCCAAGTGAAAGGATAAGTAATTATTATAAGACTAGAAGGGAGAGAATTAGGAAAGATTCCAGGAAATTATAAGAAGTCCAACCGTAATAGAAAGGTCTGCGGGGACCAAGGTCTTTCTTCCTTCTCTACTCCAATATTCACAACAATACGCTTAATACAATTCTCATGGCTGAAAACAAGCCTTCCCTGCTACGAATGAGAAGGCCATTGGACTTGTCCATTTCATCCTTATATTTGTGAACCACAAGGTTGTGAGGGATGAGCTAATCAAATGTAAACCAAGATAATTCTCAAGATGGACCTATGACTATGAGTCGTAACATGCCATGAAAACCTGTTGCATATCAGTATGCAAGCCTGCGAAACCGCATACTCTTGTCATGAGCAATAGACTGAAAAACAATTGACCCTCTCCCTAACATCACAGCACAGCAGTAATCACAAGATAAGCATAAGAAGGCACTTCACCATATATGCCAATCGGTTGACTTGATGGTCAACCAAATATTCCTACGTTCCTTCGACAAAATTAGCAACATCAGGGTTTGCCTCAACATTTGCTGTGCTAGGCCGTTGGTTGAGTAAAGCGATAAAAACAGGTTTGTTTTAATAAAAACCAAAAACAAGGAATCAGAACCATTAATCTTTCATGAAAGGCGGAATTTTATAACTAATTGTTTACGCTTGCGTCACGCAACTTCACAACCAACTGCCCTACATAGCTATAGCCACGTGGTGGCGTAATCTATTAGGATATACAGAAACGGCAAAAAACTGCCTCAAACAACACGACAAACTGCTTCACTGATCTACTACATTAACGTTGTGTCGAGCTACGATCTAGTTGCTGCTATACTGCACGAGCTGCTTCACCTACTTAAATACACGCTTCGAGCTCCATGTCGTATAGCAAATAGTCGTACCAATGACGTCACAAGCATAGACCGATACAAGTCATCAAGTCAACCATAGTCAGCAACATAACTTCATCATAACCCATCTACCTAAAATAGCATGGCAATGCCAGCAACATAAACAAGAGCCAACGGCTACCGTTGAAAAACAGGCGCGAAAGGTGAAGTTATGCAATTCAAGCATTCCAAGGCAAACCCTAGAAAACTGCATGCATAATTCCTCGCCTTCTACCAGATCTCCAACACCCCCTGATGCCAGATCAACTACCCAGCACCTCTCCTACACAAGCAAAAACAACTTGGCGGATATCAATCATCAATCAACCGCATAAAGGATGTGCATTTTCCCCGCCGGATCTTACCATCCGCGCCTCGCCTGCACAGATCTAGCGCTTCAAAGCAATCACGCACCGAAACTAGGAGCACAGGAAGTACATTAACCGGTAGAGCATGCGTTTAGAGGGCGATCGAGGGGCAATACCATGAGAAGCGCCGGCGCTCGCGGAGCCCCAGGCCCTCTTCAGCCCGGCCCGCTCCGCCGCCTCCTCCGGCGGGTTCATGATCTCCATCTCCACCTCCCTAATCTCGTCCTTCGCCGACAGCCCGCCGACGGGGCCGGCGGCGGTCGCCATCGGGGGGCGACTGCGGTGCTGCGCTGCGCTGCGGCGGCGACGAGGGTTTGGTGGAGGGAGGGAGGGGACGGGGGCGGCGGCGGCGAGGTGCGCGTGAGTGGGGTGTGGGATTTGGGGGCAAAACCTCGGTCGCTTCAGTTTCTTTCTCCCCTCTCTCTCCTATCTCTGCTGCCCTCGCATCGCGTTTGGGTCGCCACGGGCCACGGCGACGGGTGGCCGGCTATAAAGGGCCGTGCGAGCCGGCCGCGCGCGTGGGTTTTGCGTTTCTGCTAATTCGGCGGTCCCCGCCCGGCGGTATATTTCGGGACGCAAATCCTTCGATCAATGCCCTTCATTCATTGCTCCCAACACGAAACATCGTGCAGCTTTCGGCTTTGACACTTGAAACTCGCAAGGTACCCCGGACGCTTGCCATGGGATGCATCTTCGGAAAACAGAGGATGGAAACTTGGGATGCTGTCCGTTATCTCAGAAAACAAGGATGATCTTGCATGGCTTTGCGCGGGTGATTTTAACCGGGTATTATTCCAACCGGAACAGGCTTTGCGCGGGTGATTTTAATGGGGTATTATTCCAAGCGGAACGGCGAGGAGGGAACCTCCGGAGTTCTATGAAAATGGGGGGCTCCAGGGATCGCTTGCCGACGGCTGCATAGCAGACTTGTGTTTCTCGGGATATCCATTTACATAGGATGGTAAAAGAGACAGGGAGGAAAATATTCAAGTCGAACTAGACCGAGGCACATGTAATGACAACTTTTTGAAAATGGTTCCCGAGACGTGTGTCGAGCACATTTTTGGCAGAAGAATCTGAACAAGTTGCCCTTCTTATTCATGCTATGATGACACAGGTCACCAGAGATAAAAGCGGGAAGAGGGGATTAAGTTATGAGGAGGCATGGACCCGGCACAAGCTATATGACGCCATGGTTGCTGACGTGTGGCAATCAGCTGACCAGGACCAGGCGGGTCTTGGTGGGGTGTGTAGCAAATTGGGCAGGGTCACCAGTGACATGCACAGGTGGAGCCGAACGGTTTTTGGATCAATCCGACGGCAGATAGTGAAGCTTAAGGTGTAGTTGCGTGATGCTAAGGAGAAGTCCTTGCAAACCAGGTATAGACAGGAGGTTAGGGAAATAGAAGATCAACTTCTTTTTTGACACAACGAGCCTCCCTCGTCGATTTCCATTAAAGAAACCGCCACACAAGCTACAAAAGTATGTTAACCGAAAATAAAGAAGAAAACATCTAAGCAAGCGCTACCACATGCAGGCGAAGCACAACATGTCCAGACAAGAACACCCAAGCACAACAAGACCAAATTAACATCCATTGCAAAATCTAAAATGCCATCAACGCCATAAGGAGGCCATCCACGCGCCAAACACATGTATATGCAACCTGATCACCATTATCCAACTCCTATTCTTCTCCTCACGGGATTCCAGGCACGCTTCCCCGAGAACACCTCTCGCAGCACCTCCCTGATACGAGCCACACCCATCTCAGTTGTGTTTCTATTTGGCTTTTTCTGCAATATACTCCAAGACTTCAGAAAAGAGCATAGTTTATATACAACAGAGGTAGGATCATCAGGGTAAATCTTATCAAAACACGCCCTATTTTTGGTCTTCCATATGACCCAGCATATAGTAACCCCCCAAACGAGGACTACCCTCATATACTTCCTAGGGAAAGACTGAATCCAATCTCCCATTAAATCAGCAACCCCATCAGGGGTTCTTTTTAGATCAAAGGCGCACATCACCACCTGCCAGACAAACCTGGCCAAAGCACATTTGAACAGCAGGTGATCATTGTTTTCTTTTCACCCACAAAAATAACACTCTTCATTCCGAGTCCACCCCCTCTTGATCAAGTTCTCCTTAGTAAGTATGCTTCTCTTAATAAGCAACCACATGAAGACTCTAATTTTGAGGGGAACTTTCAGTTTCTAAATCCCTCTAAAACCCACCAGGGCATAAGATTTGAGAAACATATATAGTCCTTTCACCACAAACCTATTCTTGCTATTCAGCAACCATAGCATCTTGTCTTTCTCATAACTCAATTCCACTTCATCCATTAGCTTTGTCAATTCCTCCCATTATCTCAAATATTCACCATGCAATGTCCTTCTAAAAGTGAAACTGGCCCAGCCAAAACTTTTGGCCTTTTTTACAGTGATCATCTTATCAAAGGAAATGTTGTATAACCTTGGGAATAGCTCTGCCACCTTTTTATCCCCAGGCCACACATCTTCCCAAAATAGAGTTTTGGCACCATCTCCAACTACCCTCCTGGTCGGGCTAAGAAACAACTCTCTGACCTTCATCAAACCTTGCCAAAAAATGAGAGCCACCATCTCTCACAGAAGCCAAAGTACTCTTAGATAGGTATTTATTTTGCATTATTTCCTGCCATAGCCCTTCAGAATTCTCAAGTTTCCATGACCACTTCATTAAAAGGCATTTATTCATGGCCTCAAGATCCAAAATGCCCAAACGCCCATGGCTTTTAGGCATACAAACAGTCTACCAGTTCACTAGGTGGTATCTTTTCTTCTCTAGTGTTTCCTGCCACACCATCCTAGCTTTGCTAGCATCAATGTTCTTCAACACCCCCTTTGGTGCTTCCAAAAAGTAGAGCATATACAATGGAATGCTACTAAGGCAAGAATTCACCAAAGTGATCCTATCTCCAATTGACAGCAAGTTCCCAATCCAGCCATCCATCCTTTTCTCAATTTTCCTCTCGGCTAGGGCCTACTGTGTGTTACTCAATCCTCTATCATCCATAGAGAGCCCCAAGTAAACAAAGGAAGAGACCCTTATTTACATGTAAAGATCTCAATGTAGGCCTTTTTTTCCTCTGCACTCCCAAGCAAAAAACTTCACTCTTGTGAAAATTTATCTTCAACCCAGACAAGTGTTCAAAGACACAAAACACAAATTTCAAATTTCTAGCTTTCTCCAGATCAGACAATCTGTGTGAGGTGTAACAAAAGTGAGTAAAAATAGTGTTGCTATGCTTGAAAAACGGGGCCTAGGGTTCATACTTTCACTAGTGCAATCTCTCAACAGTGCTAACATAACTTTATCATATAACCGTCCCTCAGCGTGCAACAAAGAATCACTCCAAAGTTCTTATTAATACCGGAGAACATAAGATGAAATTATTGTAGGTGACAAACCACCTCAAAGTTATCCTTTCCAATCAGTCAATTGAGTCATCCCTATAAGTGTCGTAAACAACCCTAGAGTTGGCACTAAAATAACACCATATGATACACATCAATCAACTCTAATGTCACCTAGATACTCCAATGTCACCACAAGTATCCGTGAGTTAATTATTCAATATGCATCAAACAATTTCAAATTCATAATGTTCAATCCAACACAAAGAACTTCAAAGAGTACCAAAAAGTTTATATTGAAGAAAGTAAGACGAAAATGTGTATCAACCTATGTGCCTAGATTACCCCATTGTCACCTTAGGAATCTGCAACTTAATTACCAAAACATACATCAAGTAACTCAATAGTTATTGGTACCCCATTGCCACCACGGGAATCCCCATTGTCACCACAGGTATCCACATGCAAGACATATATCAAGTGTTATCAAATCCAAAATATTCAATTCGATAATAATGAAACCTCAAAGGGAAAGACTCAATTCATCACAACATGATAGAGAGGAAAGAACGCCATATGATCCAACTATATTAACAAAGCTTGTGGTACATCAAGATCATGCCAAATCAAGAACACAAGAGAGAGGGGGAAGAGAGAGAGAGAGAGAGAGAGAGAGAGAGAAAGAGAGATCAAACACATAGAAACTGGTACATACCCTCAGCCCCGAGGGTGAACTACTCCCTCCTCGTCATGGAGACCGCCGGGATGATGAAGATGGCCTCTGGTGATGGTTCCCCCTCTGGCAGGGTGCAAGAAAAGGCCTCCAGATGGGATCTCTTCGAAACATAGGCTTGCGGCGGCGGATTCAAAGTTCTAGGTTTATTTTTGGGGTTTCTCTATTTATAAGAATTTCCAGCGTTGATTTCACGCAAAAAATGAGTGACGAGGTGCCCACAAGGCAACAACCCCCTCCATACCCCCAGGGGTGCGCCATGTTGCCTTGTCACTGCCTCGTGGGTCTTTTGGTCCTCCCACGAAGCTTTAGGGGTCTCTTATGTTCTAATAAAAATTGTCAAAAAGTTTCATCGCGTTTGGACTTTGTTTGGTATGAGTTTTCTGGAAAACCAAAAACAAGCAGAAAACAACAACTGGCACTGGGCACTAGGTTAACTAGATGAATACCCTGCACGTTGTTGCGGGACATGTAGTAGGCTTCTAAATGCCAAACGTCTTGATTTTAATAATAACTAAAAAGTTGTCTTTTACTAATGGAGCACTGATCTCTTTCGGGCGCGGTTCGCAAGAAATTGACATGTGGTTAAGTACTCACAAAAAAAGTAGAGGCTTTGCAATTTGTGTTTTGGAGATTAACCATATTGCCATATAACATTGAACATCAGCTTTTATATACACAAATTGCCCTATAAACAAAGTATTTGTAGTCATATGTTGGAGAAGGGATTTAATTTTGCAAGTTGAAGATTGATGTAGCACATGAGTGCACTTTTTCATTCAATCAACAATGCAGAACTGCAGAGACAGAGGAATGGGCCAACTCCATAATATTGCTTCAAAAAGTATTATTGCAAGCAGGCATAAACAGAAACCAAAATAAGCTATACAACTCTAGCTTGTATGTTTTGAGTAGGAAAATACTATTATAGAACCATTTTCTCTTGACCTTATTACTGAACATAGATCTTATTTTTAGACTGCTGCTAAAAGTAGTTCACAACCATCAACCACCGCAACATGTAGAGATTTCCTTTATGATGAATCAGAAAAAAATTTAAATCGAATCACCACCGTAGGGAAGATAATAAAAAAAATATCCAAGGGGACCAGCAAAATTCATAGATTCG